AGTGAGATCCTGCAGACCTCAGAGCACGACTGCTCTGCTTGGCGGAGATGAGTTCACAAAGATACTGCGGGGCGTGACCATGCAAAACCTTAAACACAAGGAGGCAGATTTTGAAGATAATCCTCTTGGCAATGGGGAGCCAATGTAGGCGTCTAAGTACAGGCGAAATGTGGTCGTATTTTCTGGCTTGGGCAACGACTCGAGCAGCTATAGTTAACATCACAGTTTAACCCATTATTTGTTTCAAATTCATGTCAGTACCGAGATAAAATTGAAATGGACTATTTTTTTTTTCAATTTGCTGAATTGTTTTAGCAAAAGTCACAATGAGTTGATTTTTGAATCACTGAGAACTGAAAAATGCTCTCCGTGCTGCACAAAGGGGTGTAATACCTGTGTCAAAACAGGATTTGTTTTTGATTTTCTAAAACATCCGGTCCCTGGCATGCGCAGTCAAGCCGCAGCGGCGGTCGAGGTTGCTCAATATGCTGCAGAAAGGGGTGTAACACCTGTGTCAGACTAGTCTTAGTACAAGACTGGATTAGAGATCAATTCCCTTAATAAATCCGGTCCCTGGCATGTGGTCAAGCCGTAGCAGCAGTTGAGGTCGCTATCAACAAGATGAATCAAATTCAGTCTTAGGGACTTTGGCAGCGCTACCCAGGAAATTCCAAGCATACCTCACGTGCGCTGTATTCAAGCTGATGCAAGCACGTGTATACGCTCAGAATTTTCCTGGGTAGCATTGCCGATGTTCTCAAGACTGAATTTGATTCCTGACGCTGCGGCTTTATCGCACTTGTCAGGGACTGGCTGTATTTGGGGAATAAACTCTAAATCCAGTGGATCAACACTGGTTTCAGAATGGTATTCCAGAGTCACGCCGAACTAAAAGATATTAAATGCCTGTAGTCTGCCGAAGGAAACTTTGGCTCAGACAAACTTTATACAGTAATTTACATTGAATAGACTCGTTGTTCCAAGTGACTGCAAGAGCTGATCTTTCCATGTGTTGCTATCGTAATTGCTCCTTACCATTTCAAGCACTGTACTGATTATTTAGTTCAGCGCAATTCACGAGCAAAAGTCTGAAACATGTGTTACTTCAAAATATTCTTTTCCAGAAGCCGGTATCTAAATTAATCTGATGTGATTCACAGGTGATCTGTGAAAAAAAATTATTAATCAGTATTTTTATGAAAGGTGAAAAACTGAAATGTAAGCTATTCAAAACAGGAAATAAACTAATACTTACTTTGTATCAATTTGTCCTTGTATAATACATCAATGCACTACAATGATAGGAGAAAGGAGTGAAATCATAATGGTATATCTGAAACGATATTTTCACTGCAGCACAGTCGGGTGCCTGGCTCAACAAGCGGGCCGTAAAGTTGTTTGTAAATTATTATAAGAACTCGACGGGCTATTAATCGTGGCTTGGTCACTTCAGAACACCATAAGATGCATTCCGAGCACGCTGTCAACATGTCACTGTTCATTCATAATTCCCTTCAAAATAACTAACGCATTGTATTCATTGTGATTAAACCATTGCTATGACGTCACACTATTGTTAAAACTGTGGATTCGGATCTACGAATCTCTTACACTGGTCACAAAGTGTGGATTCGGAACGGCGAATCTTTAGTAAAGTGTGGATTCGGAATTACGAATCCACACTTTGAACATATCGGATAGTTGCTCTCCATAATGAGCGTGAATAGGACCGTCTGCGTGAAAATTTGTTTTCCGAAAATTACCAATGCATCTTCACTGTCAGATTTTCCGCTTTCACTGCAAAATCTACTTCTAGTCAGAAAGAAATCGTCGTCTGAACTATCCATTTTGACGTAAGGAGCATGTGTGTCAATACACATGCTAAACACGTCAGGAAACAATGTTGCAACCTGACGCCACTTCCGCGCTTGTGTACAACGTCTATGGAGAGTCATTTTAAGTATTTCCTAACAATTTTGGAAACATTTATCAGTCCCAGATTCATGTCTTATCACCATTTTTGCAATAAACGGCCTTCATTGAGATGATATATGAAGAAAAAAGTGGCGTCATGGTTGCAGCATTCTTTCCAATACCTCTGTTGACGCAATGGTTTAAGTCGAAGAATACACTCGCAAGTGTGGATTCTTAATTTACGAATTCACTCGGCGCTTCGCGCCTCGTGAATTCTTAAATTACGAATCCACACTTTCTCGTGTATTCTCCTTAACATAACAACTGCCCTGTGAGCGATTATCTTCTCAGTAGGCCTATAGCTGACACAGAATGTTCAGAGATCATGCTCGAAAAGATGGGGGGGTACACTTTTTGTGCCGAGAATTAATACAGTGCAAGTAGACTTGCTCGCGAAGCGCGCGACAAGCGGCATAGGCCGCCTACCCCGCGTTACGGGCGAGCGAATCCTCGTCTTACTAATAATGTGATTCCTCCATGATGTGAAGCACCTACTGACCCGTACTGTGACCTTGAGTGCTGAAAAACCATGCAAAACTAAATCGCCCAACTTTACTCACTCGTTAGCCAGCAAAATTCTCCAAAATTGCCATTGGCTAAAGACAAGATCCTCAGTACTTCAACAACCAAGTTTGAAAACTCAATTCAATTTTTAAAGGAGACTTTTCTTCAGTATTTTGCACATGAGAGAGAAGTCAAGTGATTTTAAAATGAGGCTAAAAACTAGACTAGTACATGTCAAACCATGCCCAACTGTTTGAAAAGACAGACGGGCTCTTCATTCATTGTCATTAGTCTGGTGGCTGACTATGGAAAAATGTGTAGCAATAGAGACTAGTACCTGACATCCTAGATATTTCTACTTTTGGCACAGTTGATTGATGCAGTACTGAAGGATTGTTGGACTGGTTGTTTCAGCTATTTTCTTGTATTGCATGTTTTCAATACCTTAAGTTTTTGGGAATCTCATACACAGTATTGAGAGTCCCAAATTTTCGGACTTCTAACTGGCCAAACATTATACATTCAGAAAGCCTATACATTCAGAAAGAAAGTATTCACTGTAAATTGTGGCTACTGATAAAATGACACCTTTTCCAGAATGGTTTATTGTGCCGAGTATACATCATACAGCTACCGCAAGGTTGATACAATTCACGACAAAAGTGCCAAATAGTTTCAAAAGTATATACATGTCGAGTTTAGGCGCACTAGTTCACATTTTTACTTAAGGTTGAAAAGCAAAAAAAGAGCAGAAAATAGCAAGTTGTTTTGAACTCAAAAACCTATTATACAATCTTTGATACAACTATAATCCTTTCTGACTTGTTCATTTTGGTCTGACATAACATTTTAAACAATTTGTTTCACATAATGAACCCATGATTTCACATTATACGCCTGCTTTGAACTCTGATCGAAAATACTTCAGTTTACATTTTAGTTACATAATTCATGGAAGTTCCAAACAAGATGCTATAAGAATGCTAATGAAATCATTCAGGTTCAACCCAACCTCGTCCCCAGGGTGTCGAGCAGTACGCGCCCACCACTAGCTGCTCTTTACATGTGCAAGATTTTTGAACACGTATGCAAATGAGGAATAGTCTGGTGCCTGCCTGTGCGTTACATTTGGGGTAAAAACAGAATCAATTCGTCGCAGCGCGAGCATGGCGTGAGTTACGAAAACAAGATTTTATTTTAATTAAACTGTTACGATCTTATCGAGACAACATGCAGTATCACATTCCATATTAATATGAACAAATTGGGAAAGAAAATTAATATTTTCGAGAAGGCATGGACGAATGATCGCGAAAACACGTACTGCACGTTGTGAATAACAACACCAAGTACACGATATATATCCAGTTCTAGCCAATTGCGAAATCGAATCAGGATACAGGAAGAAAGTTTCCTATCAAGGGCTTACTATTGGAAACGATGTTGGAAATAAAGTAAGCACTGGGGACGAGGTTGGGTTCAACCCAGATCTTCTTTTCACCAATAAACAATTCAGTACTTTTAAGTTTCGTAGAAATTTGTATCAAAAGCACACGCTATAAGTAACAAAAGCTTACTCTCAAATAATGAAGTAGAAGCGGCTCGTTTCTTTTTGCACCAAACATAACATTTCATTTTATAATGAGAAGACAGGTAAGCGGCTTGAATTTTTTTATTTTTGGTTATAGCTTTTCTTTATATCATTTGTTTAAAAAAAGATATATAGGGATTGTCACATTACGAAGTTTCTCAGCATTCAATTCTTTTGGAATACGACGAATTCCCACAAATATACCAGGCACAGGCGAATGTTTCAAGGTGGAAACCCCGAAAAAAAACGAATGTTCTTGGAACACATCTAAATATTAAAAGAAAAACCGATTACGGTATTCCTAGCGGAATCATCCCAGGCAATCCGCGCTGTCAGATTCCACGCTAATAACACCATCAATAATGTCTCTCACCAATTAAAATCGGTTAACAGAATTCCGCGCACATAAAATAATCACAAGAATCGTAAAGTATAAAACTGTATATGTTTTTGGTTACATGTAAATTCTGTACATCTTGTAGTAAAGCAGGGACGTCACTAGAACATTTTCACTGGGGGGGGGGGGGCAAGTTTGCGTTAAAAAAAACCGACAAGAAAAAAAAGAGGGTCCTCAAATTTACAAACTTGCCGACATAAAAAGTTAAGGGAGGTATGAAAATTACAATTTGCCGACAAACTTGCAACGAAATATTTGACAAGCAAAAAAAAGACCTCAACATTTGCCGACAACAGTAAAATAATATAAAAAAGGCCCTAGATTTTATAAATTTACCGACAAAATTTATGGATTTGCCGACAGCAATTTTGAATGGGGGTGTCAACCCCCCCCCCCCTCCCAGTGACGGCCCTGCTTGTAAGTTTTTTAGGTTTTTATTTTTCATCGAGTTCCTGTACTTCGTAGCTGCATCAAGGGTGGATCCGGGGGTGCAACGGGGGCCATGACACCCCCCCCCCCCGAAAAAAAAAAAAATTTGACGTCGTAATGAAGGCATGCACTGCGTACACGACCATCTTTTCCTCAAAAAGATTTGGTTAAAGTGGTCAGAAATTGCCTCAGATCGCAGCACATCTAGAATCCAAAAGAATTGTGTTCTGGATCCACCCTTGAGCTGCATGAGTGAAGGTTATGCACAATAAGCTCTTGGAGTCCACTTGGTATAGAGTATACAGAGATACCCTTTACTGTCTTGGGATGCTGAAGGATTCAGGCTGCAGACCGGGTGTTGTCTGCTGCAGTGCACTGACAAACTCCACAGCGGCTGGCAGCTCAGTGTCCTTGCTCATGTAGACTTGGATGTTGCACTTGGTCTCCCAGGGAGGCAAGAACGCGCCCAAGTTGATGACGCGATTGTCGATGGATGCAGTCAGCGGCCTCTGGGGTTGCCATCTCTCACGGTATTGTTCATCCTGTGTGTGGGTTAATATGTTGTAGGTGGTCCAACAAAAATGGGGGGGGTTAAAATGTCGACGTTTGATACATGGAACTGTAAATCAAGTCAATCAAGAGTTGTTCTCAAAACGAACACGGATGCACTACAATATCGTTAATCATCATCCCATGTGATTTGTTATGAATTGATTTGAGATTAGACTTAGGATTTAACATGTGATTCGAACAGCCCCATACTGCTTTATTGTTCATTACTGCATATTACTTTGTTGCTTAAAACGTTATTTTATGGTTAGCTAATACCTATAGGTTTGTTGTTTTCATATGATTTTACACTTCTTGCGATGTATTTTACTCCCATTGCTATAATATTGTGTATGCTGTTGTATTTTCTTTATCTTTTTAATAGAAGTATTGGAATAAATGTGATGTTGAATTGAATTGAATTGAATTGAACTGTGATTTTACTAGTGGTCGACTTGTGACCTACGTTAGGGCACAGAGGACGAACGTTGAAAAAATTAATGAATGTCTTCTTCAGAAATAATGAAGCGCATGACTTGATACTATAACTGGAATTGAAACTATGACCTGTGATTAAACATGAGGTAGGCTTTTGATGCCTTCCAATGACTTGTGGAGGTCTGTGATGGATTGATAAAAGCTGTTAATGCATTGGGTAACTCACCGAGCAACATGGCTGCAAACACCGGCCCAAGGAATCCGGGAAGAAGCCTTGAATTCTTGCCGTTGCACTGAAACCGTGCACGGAACTTATGTCCACTCCCCGGAAACACGTCAGAGGGATGCTCTCATAACGGAGACTATAGGCCTTGTGACCTCTGACACTGTAGGCACTTATCTTAGCTTGCCCCTCACTTGTCAAGTTGAGACCTGTTATGGAGAAAAGAAATTCAGTTTCGGTGTCATCGATTTGGGGGAATTTTTTACCTCGTTCTCGGGATCTACTTGCAAAGCAGCGTACTGATCAGGTGCTATGGGAACGAGGTTGAAGGCGCGCATGTGCAGTTGTAATGTGCAGTTTCTAAGCTCCAAAAATAATAATCCATCATCATAAAATGAAAAAAGCCTACTTTAAATTGAAGTTGAAGTTCATTGCTCATTGACGTACCTTTTGTTTCTTCTGCCGACAGAAATATCAAGCGCTTGTTGGTGAGATACGCACGACCCGGAGTCATGTTGGCCTTTGCCGGTGCTTCCACACCGCTCTTCGTATCATTTATGCGTTGAAATGCCACCTTATAGAACGCAATGTAATTGTCAGATGCAGTCTCATCTGACAGCAGAATACCTATTAGGAACAAATATGTAAATGGTATATAGTAACTTTTACAACAACAAATACCAGGAGGTATTAGATGGCAAATATAGAATCCTGGAAAGATGGCTAACCGGCCAAACACGGTGAAGTCACCGCGCCAAAAAGGCTTTTTAGTTACACAACCGTATTTACAGAAGTTTAATGTAAATTCCTCTACTCTGAATTGGAAAATGTTTCTTCCAACAAACTTGTACTCTTGAGCAGTTTAAAGGGCTATAACTCGATTTAAGTAGTTGAAAAAGTATAACCGAAATTTAACCTCTTTTGGCTTCAAGTTATTATAGTCCGCGAACCACAAAAGAATGCGTATATCTTTACGTCCATTGTCTTCTTTCAATATTATTATTCTTAGGGTGCATGGGTGCTTTTCTAGTTTCATGCTGATGGCAACAAGTATAATCATGAGTAAAGACTATTTAAAGGTTGGCCAGTAAACTTCCAATCTCGCTAATTGGCGAATATGAGCCAGCCCATAGCATAATTTTGTTCACACGCACAGCCTTAAAACTTCAGCATCGTCCACATCTCATCACTCACCATCCTGAGGACGGACAGAGCACAATGTCCGAAACGTCGAGTTCTACACTAAACCAACCAACCGGTTCTTTTCAGAACCACACTCCTTTCAAATAGAGATTATTTTCCACATGGCGTTACCCGCAAATCTTTCTTTTTATCTCATGCGCCATTCAAAGGTTCAAGTCATATATATTGTGATATTTACTTGTGACTGGACTTGTGGTAAACTCGACCACAACACTGCTCACCCTCCAGGAACATTATTTGAAACGTTTCCAGCTGAAATCAACTAAATATTTACTCAAAGTTCTTGGCCTTGAATTATACGGACTGATGTTCCTGAGCCGAACGGTTTCAGCTCCAATTAGACCTAAAATTGTGAACCAATGAATCCCTATAGAAACAGTAATTGTGAAAAGAAGTATATATCTCGAATGGTACCCACTATCAAGCAACGTGTCGTATTCCATCTGGCAGTTCGTAGGCAGCTCCAGGTTACCAGCGGTGGCCATCACCTCCTTCAACGCACCGTTGACATAACCCGTTACCTGATGAACGCTGTTGGCATGCCGGCCTCCCAAACTTTGGAGAACTGCATTGGACTCGGGGTCAAAGTTGAAACGAGCCAGCTCCGCTTGAGATGGGGGTGGTGGTGGCGGGGGTGGCTGGACCATAGGCTGAAACCCAACAAGAAAACTACATGTCATTTTAATTACATGTATTTTAGAAGTCTATATTCTGCATATTTTTCACTTTCGGAAAAAGCTCGGCAGGAGGCAGGTTTCCTTTTTGGGGGTAGGAGGAGCATCATTTGTACGTCTTCACCAGGTAATCTCAGAAGACTAAATAATGAGATAATGTTAGTTTTCCCGTCCAATTTCGCAAAAATAGCATTCACAATCATCTTTACGTGGCCGATTTAAAGCGAATTAGCTCCTCGTTGTCGTCAGTTTGGTCAAAGGTTATTTGCATGAGATTCTCTTTTTTTTTCATTTCCACGTATTCTATTCAGTACTTTCTGCATCCCAAGATTCGAGTTTTGTTTTTGAAAGAAAATACCTTTTCTACTGTTCATTTGTGTTAGTTTCACTATAGTTTGTTGAGTTTCAAAGAATCTGTTGTCTTCCTTTAAAAAAGTAAAAATGTAAACTAGTGATACGAGAAAACTAAACCTTAAAGTCGACGTATGTTAGCAATAAACTTATAGTAAACTTAGGCGATCTTTTTTAATCGTCTTTTTTAATGGCAACGAGACATGGTCTATGTTGTGAGCAGATTCGCTGATTAATATTAACAAGACAACCGCCTCTTGGCCTCTAGATTTTGACCAATCAGCGGGCGCTTTCTATATCGGATCTTCGGTCATTGTTTTTTGTGCAAAAAGGAACCAGACTATTTGGTTAAGTTGATTTGAAATCACGATGTCCGCAATATGATAATGGTCTATTACAAAACACTGCATTCGAATTGACCAATCAAACATTTATCCTGATTTGGGTTAAGTGACGTCACGATTTAGTAAAGTCGACTCCGATTGGCAGAGGCGCGGGATTGCATAAATCTGCACGCTAAGATATATCAGCCGGTAGACAGGAGACAGCTCCGTTGATAACGGGTGATAATCAGACTACATTTCAGTAACATCTGATTTCTGTTTTTGATGTGCAAAAGAAAGATTAAGAAGTGATCGATATGTATTTTGTGGCTGCTGTTTTGTGGCAGAATCTTGTGGGAAACAGTGTTCGTATGTACTTTCGATTTTGCAACAAAGACAGTCTTCGAATTCTATATAATAAGATTGTGAATACGTTTTGAATTCCTTTAGTTGTATTTCACAAATGCTTTCTTGAATTCGAATGACCAAACTGACACAACTGTATGGAAGCTATGACGAATTTAAATGGCATATTAAAAATCGCATCATTGAAATTTGTAAACACATGCTTTTAAATTTAAATTAGACGATCTGTTTAATTAATGAATTTTGATCTCAACGTGCATTCGAACTCGTGCGAAAGTGGGAGGTTCGTCATCATTTTGGCTGCCAAATCTCTTAAACCGACCGCGAAAACCTACAATTAGGCTGAATTTCAAAAGAAAGGCTGCAATACACGTAATGATACTAACAGACAAATTTCAAAATAGCATTGAAACCGAGGCTTTCGCTGCTAAGCCATTGTATGAAATGAGGACCTTTTGTTTCTTTAATCCTCTCAGCAAAAGAAAGCAATGAGGCCCTCGCTACAGTGTCAATTGGAAATACCTCTATGCGTTTAAAATTGTACTCCACTGTTTCAAGACTCATTTTTTTTTAAGTAAATAGTTTTGTCCAATCGCATAAAAATGGTTAAAATAATGTCTAATTGTAATGACACATGTTCTCATAGTTGATTTTTTTTTCTGTTCACAAGAGTAAAGTGAAGATATTAACCTGTGGTCGTAGTGCCTGTTGTTGCTGCATCTGATATTGCTGAACAGGCTGCTGATGCTGCTGCCGTTGCATGGGCCTGTATTGCTGCTGTTGTGGTGTCCCTTGCAGGTGTTGCATGCCCTGCGGCTGTTGCGTGCCTTGTTGTTGTTGTTGTTGTTGTTGTTGCTGCTGCTGCTGCTGTCGCATGAACTGCTGCTGTTGCATGCCACGTTGTTGTTGCATGACTTGCTGCTGTAGCAATGCTTGCTGCTGCTGTTGCTGTAGCTGCTGCTGTTGCATAGCCTGGTTTTGGACTACCGATGCTGGCGGCTGCTGTTTGTACTGAAAACCTTGGACACTGGATGGATTTTCAGGCTATGACACACGTAACGTTTCAATGGTCAATATGATAGGTTATCACAACTTGTTGGGACCTTTAACACTCTGACTTACCAAACCTGGTTAAACAAGGCGGGAATGGCGATAAATAAGGGGCACTTTTTGAATTTTTGTATTTATTAATTATTTTGGTGGGGGGGGGGGTCATGTTAACGGAACACCATTGTCTTCGGCAAACTGATCACTCTCGGCCAAAATCTGCAAGTTGCATTTACCCATAATAGTGTGCATGAGAAACTGAATGTTTGCTTCACTAGATTCTGGACTGAACGACATAACGTGATATAAACTTCAGTCAGAAACTGGGTATCGTGAAACTTTTGAGCACCACGGCAACCTAATACAAATAAAATACCAAACACAGTGTGTCAATCATATTATTTTTTTTTTTAAATGACAGTGTAAAGGGAGGACACAGGCAAATAAATGTCTTCAAATATTGAACCATGCAAATCTAGCAAAATGATTTTTGTTCTGAAGCAGGCTACCGTTAAATATGTTTTTTTTTATCGGCTACATGGGAATGGTGCTCACTCCCGGACCTTATAAAAGTGTAACGATCTAATCACAAAATAAGTCGTCCGATCGGGCTAAAACTTAGAGTTGTCTCCTGTGCTCTTCACAGAGTTCGATTTTTCGTTTCCTTCTAACGAATTTTCTGTTTGTATGTTTTATTTTAACTATCCCCCATTTTGTTCTATTTTCGGGTGTCTACAACTCTTTGAAAAAAGGTTTTATCTCGGTTTGCTTTTGCGCCTCTAGCGCAGGAAAAAATCCGTTCGAACTATTGGCGGGCCGCGAATGATTCGAAATTTGTAAGTTCATGTATTCTATTACTTAACGTGGGAGGAGTCATTTCGTTCGATTTCTCATTAAAAAGAAAATAGTGATTGAAAAAGTACCGAGGGGCGAATTGGAATGTGAAAAACAGCTCTTCCGTCACTGGAAAAGAAAAACACCAACAAACGGCCGGTGTTTCAATTTATCCAAATACCTGAACTGAATGCTGGGTTTGTGCCTGATATGGAGACGAACGTCCACTAGAAGCTTGGGAACCAGGCTGCAGACCACCAGTCTATATAATCATAGGAAAATATAGGATTTTGTGTCAAGACACATCAAGTGCATAACATTAAACATCGTTCGTTTCAAAGGGCCATGAAAAATATTAAGGGGCACTTTCGACCGGAACATTTTAGGCTATAAAACGCGTTTCTCACAAAATGACTTTAGTTAGAAATGTCTTTCTAAAACGTAGGATATAAACTTCCTCACCATAATATCTTGAAAATTTACGGTTTTCCGGTTTAATAATCTCGCGAATAAGTTTGGGGATACAAAAGTTTAGTCCTTGATTCAACTACAACTGTGTGGACTTTTAGGCCTAATCCCTTGTGGCAATGTGTGAAGGTCTGAAAGTCTAACTATCATCGGGCCGGGGTCTACCCGATGTTCCCCAATACCTATGTTCCCCAAAATCCTTAGGGTTAGGGTTAGGGTAAGGGTTAGGATTAGGTTGGGGAACATAGATATTGGGGAACATAGATATTGGGGAACATAATGCACCCGTGGGACCTGATATCACACAATTTTTTTTTCCATATTAATAGAGCGTATTAGGCGCCATGCAGTCTCATGTCGACAGTTTGGCTAACTGCAGGCAATATCACGTACAAATGCAAAAATCACTGCCGTGTCAGATGTAAACAAGCGGGATTTTTTTCTTAATTTTCTCCGTTAACCTTTCTATGACGTAAACTTTTCTGTGACCAAAGAAAATCAAAGCACTAAAGTTTTGCGATCTCAAGACGAATATGTACCTTTTTTTCTTGAATTAATAATTATTATATGCACTTTTGTTCTCGCCCCAATTTTCAATAGTCATGCTGCCGTTTTCGGGGGTATTTTTGTGCCTTTTCGTTTTCATATGCTAATGCATATTTCCATATTAATGACCAGAACTATGTGATGTCATATTCAAGGCAGAAACTTCAGTGTTACAGTCGCTTCACCACCGAAAGTGACCAGATTTTTGGGGATTTGTTGGCTTTAGTAAAATATTTTCTCGTTCTTGTGGTTTCACAGAACATGACAATTTAAATAGAAAATCCTTAACTAAAGAGTGTACCGTATACGAATGATGACATCAAGGCATCAGCGCCCTTAGTTATCAGGAAATTGCATGAACAGTTCACATTTTTAAAACTGCACTTTATACGAAAATTTTAACCAAAAATGGATGTTTCATACTCTTCGTAAACAAATTTAAGAGGATTGAACATTAAATTTGTACAAAAGATGCTCCGGTATGAAATTCATGTCATGATCCTTTGAATCTTTAAACTTCCTTTTCCGATATTTTTTAACCATTGACAGATAGTTCACAATATTAAATTATTGTTCATGCTGCATGCAAGAAGTCACTAGAATGGGGGCCAACCATTACATTCAGGGCAGGCAGTACAGTGTGCGCAGACCAACACGAACGTCCCGGTAGGCTGTAAAATGTATCATAGAGTAGTAAGGGAGGCGGGGGTGCTGGACTTTGTCATAGGTCTGTGGGTAGTACAGGGCCATTAATGAGAAGTCAGGGTACCAGACTTTGTCATAGGTCTGTGGGTAGTACAGGGCCAATGGGAAATCCCCCGATCTCAAGAAAAAAAAAAAGAAAAAAAATAAATCTAACGGAGAGAGAGTGAGAGAGAAAAATCTGTCGTCGCTAAAATGAGGGGAGTCTAATTATTTATAAATCTAAAAGTCTAACCTCAAAAAAAATGAAGAAAAAATATTATATTTCCTATAATAAATGGAGGGTAATATGTTTAGACCAACCATCAAAGGATATTCTAAATGGAACAAAGCCACACTGCGTGATTACGTGCAGCGGTACAGTATACCACACAATGAAAATGTTTCTCTTACTCGTAAAGTTTACATCGAGGGGATAAAACATTATGAAAGTAAATTTAAAAACTTGAGGAAAAAGACACTACATGAGCTCAAAGAGATTGTAGACGAACACAATCTAGAATACGTACCGACGGGTTATAAAGGACGATTTTTGAAAAAAGATTTAATCTCAACGATTAAAACATACAGACAACCCGAATACTTTACAGAGTCAGATTTTAGAGAAACGAGAAGGTTTAGAAATTACTACAGAAACTGGGAATTAAACACCAGACTTTATAACCACGATTTAATCAAGTTTTTTGATTCACACAAGGAACAAATAGTCAATAAAATCAAGTTAGAATTGAGAGAGTTGGGAGGTTTAAAAATGGAGCTCACAATCAAAATAAAATACGAAAAAACCAAAACCGATGGTACGATCGAAACGATCGAAGCTATTCATTATAGCAAGCCGAAAGCTGTTTTAAATCAAAGTCAAATAAAACAGGTTTTAAGAGAAGAGATCGACGAGCTATTTAAAAAGGATGAAAGGTATACAAATCAAGGATCGGGTTGGGTTTTAAAAAAGATAATGGTGTTATACATCAACATCAACAGATATAATCCAGTGAGAGGTAGTTCCTACATAGACCTACCCGAATATCTTAAAATTAAGAAGGCGATGATCAACATCAAAAACAAAGACGACGAGTGTTTGAGATGGTGTTTGAGAGCTGCTCTTGAGTTGTATACGGATAAAGTAAAAAATCAAATAAGAAATAATCCTAATTATAAAATTCATAAAGAAGAACCTGTTGTATACACCAAAGACGACGGACTCAGTTTTAAAGGTGTTGACTTTCCAACACCGGTCGATCAGATAGCCAAGATAGAAAGACAAAATAATTTATCGATAAACGTATATGGTTATGAGGGTGAGATATATCCATTATACGTGTCTAAAAACTACAAGGGGAAAGAGATCGATCTGCTTTTGATTTCTAAAGGTGACAAGCATCACTATTGTTGGATAAAAGATTTTACGAGGTTGATATACGACGTTACGAAACATAAATGTAAGAAATATTTTTGTCGAAGATGTCTTTGTCATTTTACCAATCAAAACAAATTAGACAAACATATCACCGATTGTAAGGGTATAGATACACATCCATCAAAGATTGTATTTCCTCTGGGTAAACCAAAATACATAGACGGGCAACCAAGTGAAGAGAGAGACGTACCGATATTAGAATTTAAAAACTATAGGCACAAACAAAAAGCACCATTTGTCATTTATGCCGACTTTGAATCCATATTACAAACAACAACATCCACAGATAAAGAGACAAACACAAAAAAGATTAACGTTCACAAAGCTAGCGGTTATTCGCTAGTTGTCGTCCGATGTGACGGTAAAAATGTATATCAAGAGACTTATAGAGGCAAAGACGCTTCAACTAGATTTATAACGACGTTGTTACAATTACAAAGCGATATTAATTGTCTATTTGAAAAACCCCAACCCATGAAATTTAACGAGCGAGCTAAAGAACATCACGATAAAACAAACGCGTGTTGGATTTGCGAAAAACCAATTTATCCCAATTACTCGAACAACTGTCAGTGCCAGAAACCAAGGGAACCCAAGACGATAAAACAAATAAAAGAATATCAGTGCAAAAACAAAAAGGGATTTACCGAGTCTAAATGTCTCGACTGTAAAAAGAAAATCAACAAATTTAGAAAGGTGAGAGATCACTGCCACGTCACTGGTAAATATAGAGGTGCCGCACACGCCTATTGTAACCTCAAACTACAAATTAAACCCGGTTGTACACCGATACCGGTCTTTTTTCACAATTTACAAAATTACGACGCGCATTTAATCCTGCAGGGAATGACAGAATACGATAGTCAAACAGAAATACAAGTGATCGCTAAAAATTCAGAAAAGTATATTTCGTTCTCAATAGGAAATCTACGATTTCTAGACTCGTTTAGTTTTATGAGATCGTCGTTGGATAAATTAGTGAAAGCTTGTCCAAAAGAGTCGTTTCAGCTACTCAAAAAGCATTTTAAACATCCTGACTCGCTATTACAAAAAGGAATTTATCCCTACGAATATATGGACTCGTTTGATAGATTTCAAGAGACCAGCCTACCACCCATCGGCAAGTTTTACAGCAGACTAAAAGACGAACATATATCGCAACAAGACTACGACAGAGCTCAACGCGTGTGGAACGAGTTTAATATACAAAATCTAGGAGAATATCACGATTTATACGTGACCACCGATACGTTATTACTGGCAGGCGTATTTGAAAACTTTAGAAGAACGTGTATTACAAACTACGGGTTAGATCCAGCCAATTATTACACCGCACCCGGGTTGTCCTGGGATGCTCTATTGAAACACTCGGAAGTTAAACTCGAACTATTGCAAGACGTAGACAAACATTTATTTTTTGAAAAAGCAAAACGAGGAGGCATATCGAGCGTGGGTGGAATGAGACATCACAAAGCCAATAATCAATATCTCGATGACTACGATTCAAACAAACCCTCGAGTTATATCGCTTATCTGGATGCCAACAATCTGTACGGTTGGGCTATGAGTCAATATCTACCGTACAGCGATTTTAAATGGACACCCTCGAAACCGTTTACCGAAGAAAGAATATTAACGCTGAAGAAAACGTCAAACACCGGTTATTGCTTTGAAGTAGACTTCGATTACCCGAACGATCTACACACCAAGCATAACGATTTTCCCCTAGCACCAGAAAACATCATCATACCCCAAGAGTGGATGTCTGATTATCAAAACGAATTATTAGATACCGAACCTAGTAGCGACGTACAAAAATTAACGTGTACCCTCAATCCAAAACAAAAATACGTGTTGCACTACATCACATTACAATTGTATCTCAAACTCGGTTTGAAACTAAAAAAGGTACATCGCGTGTTAAAATTTAAACAAGCGCCTTGGATGAAATCTTACATCGATAAAAACACGCAACTCCGAACAAAAGCAACCTCTGATTTTGAGAAAGACTTTTTTAAACTGATGAATAACAGCGTGTTTGGTAAGACGATGGAAAACGTTAGAAATCGAATAGACGGTTACCTACTGAGAGACAATAACGAGAGCGATCAAGAAAAATACAAAAAAAT